TTCTTGCCTCCCTGGGCTAAACAAAGTGTTTGATATTGAGATGTAGATAGTAAGATAATTCATTAGGGTTCACGTTGTAAACCCTAACAACAAGGATGAATTCCTTTCTGAATGTGACTTAGGGAAGATGATATTTGCATCATCTAAATCAACCACATTATAGTCATATATGTTATACCTATAAAAACTATGTTAGCAAAACAGATAATCTGTCTGGGTAGTCTTCAGTTGGGGGACTTCTGTCTTAAGAAGGAACCAAACCTTATGCTATAAGGAAATTATGACTTTTAAGAGCAATCTTCTTTGACACCAGTAGAAGCTCATTCTATGAATTTATGTCTATCTTAAATATCAAAAAGCCAGTCAAGCAATTTAAACCCACTACTTACTTAGTGGTGGATAGGACTCCATTACCATTACTATTTTTCCCACTTAACTAAATGGGAACTATCATGTAGTTATGATCTGAATTTCTTAAGCTATTATGTTTACATTTTATTTGTATATATCATTCTTGTTATTAATTTTAAAATAATATCTTTACTTTGAAATGTGTCTATAACTTTGTAGAATAAATTTGATTAGAAAATTTGACAGTCCCACTATGGAATTACACCTTTTTTCTCCCCACTTTTTTTTTTTTTTTTTGTGGATAGGACAAATAATTTAAATTCTCCGTAGCTTTCTTCCCCTCCTATAATATTTGCTCTTGGAATTAGATCATGTTAGAGATGGAAGGAGCCTCAGGAGACCATTTTATTCAGCACTTTTGTTGTTAAGTTGAGTAAACAGAAGCCTGGAGAGAGTCACAGCTAGCTTGAAACAGTTCACTGATTAGTAGAAGACACAGCTGAAATTAGAAACAAGGCCAATTACCAATCAAAAGAATTATTTCCATTTGAGTAAGAAACTTTCTAATTGTTTTAATTTAGGGATTTTAGAATGTGACTGTTTCAAATTAATACATAGTTTTTTACTAAAAAGTCCACAACACAGTGATCAGCACCCATAATTTCTTAACTTCTTGTGTTATACTTTGTGGGGGTATTTTATAAATTCCTCTTATTACATTCTACTGTTTTAACCTAAATAATTTGAATTTCTGTGTTACAATATGACTTGTTAATCAATTGCATATTTTATGCAATTGTTGATTTATTGTGCCAATGTTGATTAAAGTTTATATGATAAGAGACCTGCCTTGGGGTGGAGAGTAGTAGCTAAAGCAAATGGAAAAAATGACAAGATAAAAGAGCTGAACAGATTTCAAAGAGCAGCTCAAGCCGACAAAGACAATTAATATAATGAAACATGTAAAGACTGGGAGTTAGAAAACCAAGCTGAAAGAACTGAGGTAAAATATGAAGACTCCAGTCGCAATATTGAAAGATTCTTTAGGCAAATTACTGAATGATGCAGGAAGCATCAAAAGATGATGGAAGAAATACACAGAGTCACTACCAGAAAGAATTGGTTGACCTTCATCCATTTCAGGAGGTGCCATATGTTCGAGAACCAATGGTATTGAAGGAAGAAGTCGAAGCTGCACTGAAGGAATTGGCGAAGAACAAGGCTTCAGGAATTGACAAAATACCCACTGAGATGTTTCAACAAACAGATGCCCCACTGGAAGCAGCCACTTAGCTATGCCAAGAGATATGGAAAACAGCTACCTGGCCAACTGACTGTAAGAGATCCATATTTGTACTGGTTCCAAAGAAAGGTGTTCCACAGAATGTGGAAATTATCAAACAATATCATTAATATGACACACAAGTAAAACATTCCTGAAGATAATTAAAAAATCGTTGAAGCAGTATATTGACAGAGAACTTCCAGAAATGTAAGCTGGATTCAGAAAAGGACGTGGAAAGAGAGATACCATTGCTGATGTCAGATGGGTCTTGGCTCAAAGCAAAGAATACCAAAAAGATATCTACTTGTGTTTTATTGACTATGCAAAGGCTTTTGATTGAGTAGATCATAACAAATTGTGGATAACATTGAGTTGTTGTTGTTATTGTTGTTATGTGCCATCGAGTCAGACCTGACTCATAGCAACCAGTCCTTGGTTTTCTGAGACGATATCACTATGGAAGTAGATTGCCCAATCTTCCTTCAGAGGAGTGGCTGGTGGGTTTGAACTGCCAGCCTTCTGGTTAGCAGTCAAGTGCCTTAGGCACTATGCTACCCAAGCTCCTAGAACATTGAGAAGAATGGAAATTCCAGAACACTTAATTGTACTCATTAGGAACCTGTACATACACCAGGAGGCTGTGATTCAAACAAAACAAGGGGACCCTGCATGGTTTAAAATCAAGAAGGGAGTTCATCAGGGTTGTATCATTTCACCATACTTATTCAACTTGCATGCTGAGCTAATAATCTGGGAAACTGGACTATATTTCATCAGGATATGAGGAAGAGTCATCAACACTGACAACAAAATTTTGCTTGCTGAAAATGAGGATGACTTGAAGCACTTACTGATGAAGATTGAAGAGTACTATCTGCAGTATGGATTATATCTCAATATAAAGAAAACAAAAATCCTTACAAAGGAACCAATAAGCAGCATCACAATAAATGGAGAAAAGAGTGACATTGTCAAAGACTTCACATTGCTTGTTCTTATAATTGACAATTGACGCCAATGGAAGCAGCAGTCAGGACATCTGATGAAGTACAGCACTGGACAAATTGGCTGCAAAGTACCTCTTTCAAGTGCTGAAGAGCAATGACATCTCCTTGAAGACTAAGGTGTGCCTGACACAAGCCATGGTATTTTCAATCACCTCATATGCATGTGAGAGATGGACAATGAATAAGGAAGACCAAAGAAGAATTGATGCTTTTGAGTTGTGGTGTTGGCGAAGAATGCTGAAAGTACCATGGATTGCTAAAAGAACTAACAAATCTGTCCTGGAGGAAGTGCAGCCGAAATGCCCCTTGGAAGTGAGAATGGGCAGACTTTGTCTCACCTACTTGGGTAATTTTGTCAGAAGGGATCATTCCCTGGAGAAGGATGTAATGCTTGGTAAGGTGGAGGGTTGATGAAAGAGGAGAAGGTCCTCAATGAGATGGATTGACACAGTAGCTGCAGCGATGAGCTCAAATATAGCAAGGATCATGGAGCTGGTGTGGGACCAGGCGGTGTTTGGTTCTGCTGTGTGTAGGGTTGCTATCAGTCAGAGATGACCTGACAGTACCTAACAACAATATGATAACCCTGAAACATAAGTAAAATTGTATCTTAAAAGTAAAAGAACAGAAAAATCTTTGTGACTCTTCTCCTTAGTATAGAGAACATTTACTGAAATAGACATTTTTAGATTATTCAATCAGATGAATCATCCAAATCTGATGGGAAGGTTCATTTTACTACTTACATTACCCAGTTCTCTTCCTTTCACTAACTAAATTACTTCAACCAATTCCAATCTCCCACCTCATTCTGTGGTGGAGACTTGAACTCCAAAGGTTTCATAGCCTTAGCCCGCAAAATGAACCTTCTGTACACCTAAAATAGTGTGCATGAGATAAGAGTGAATGTTATGTGAAAATTGAGGACTTACCTTATAGTAATCAAGACATCTTCCCATAATAGGAAATAATTGATACCTTTTTACATCTCATATGTTTCAAGAATTTTAGTTAAGGAGTGCTGTGATAAATGTAAAGCATTGCAGAGTCTTTTACTAGGAGTTTAAAAAACAAAGATTGGGGAATGGAAAGAACCAGGATTTCTGATGTTAGGCTATTTGTACAATCTATAAAAGTGAGTAAATATTAAGAGCTGAATAGAAATGTGAATTGTTTCCTTAAAATATAAATCAAATGGAGAAAACTCATTTTCAACATGTTTCTTAACATTCATTTTCTTTTAACTGAATAATCATGTCCTTTTAATGTCATTACCAAGGAAATCGTAACCTTCAATAGAAGCGAAGAGATAATTAATTTTGAAGATAATATTACCATGGAAAGTGAGTCCATTCTCAGCATTATGTACCACGTTATTTATTTATTTATTTAGAGGATGCTTGGATCTTAGCAGTTAGTTTTAACTATAGGGGACTGGGACAAACAGAAGTGTATTATTTAAACCTAACTAAAGGAAAGCATGTGATTTTTTAAAAAATAAATGATCTATGGATTCCACACCATCAGTATGTCCCTTGTAATCTTATCTTATATTGCAAGAAAAATAGATGTATTGTTAAAAGCAAATACGTCACATGCAGTAGCCAAGTAAATATTATATAAGGCCATTCAGATTTGACAAATGACAGTATAATGGCGTTTTGTTAATTCTGTAAATATTATATTGCTGAGTGCTTCCAAAATTACCTAATGTACAAAATTCTAGACTTAGTAGACAAAGAGTAACAACACATTGAATTTGAAGAAACAAAGAAAACTCAGGGAAGGATTCTGTCTTTTTTTGTTTTGTTTTGTTAAAAACCATGTATTGAATTTAATTTTTAGTAAAGCAAGCATTACATAATGCTTCAAAATTTTAAAATTCAGGGATAAAAGTTTACATCCAAAAAGATGAATGGAAAATTGTGCTTTCAGACTGTAGAGTCAGTTTTCATACAGGGTTTACCAATTCATCTTGCCGTTGGATACTGGGAATTTCATCTATATAATGTATATATGTGCAGTTTATATCCAGGTCCTGCAAAAATCTAAAACTATGTGCTTCACTTCATGTAGCAAAGGCACCTATGTTATTCTCCCTTTTGAGTACAAGTTATGATCCAGTTTTCCTGCTTGAAGATGATTTTTTCCACCGCTGCATCGCTCACACTCTCTGTGTTGAGCAGTACAGTAAATCACAAGAGAAGGTGGCGGTGAATCCTGCTTACATTGGAAGAAGTTGCTCTGTGGACCATTTGAAGAAGCTCTGGACTGATCACAAGGGAAACCGAGCAGAACTGTGAAGCAAGACAGACAGGAACAAAAGGCTATTCTGGTGTGAGGAGAAATCAGTCATTTTAGCTCCATAAGCAGATGTTGCTACTGGACTGACAAGTGGAGCCTACTCCTGCTGGAGAAAGGTAAAGTTTGCCATTGGGGCAGACACAGAGTTCGTACACTGTCTGTCGAGAATGTGGGGAGCTAGGTGAAGAAGATGAGTAGGAGCCAGTCGGTAGATTTCCCAGCCGGATTGTATCTGCATTTAAAAATATCTGGGGGAAAAAGAAATTGCATTTTAATTTAAATTAGCTTTCAACATCCCTCAGAGCTTCACAACATGGTCCAATAAGAAAGACTAAACAACAAACAATTCTGTTGGTTTAGCTGCCATGCTTTGTTGAACAAACAAATTACATTCCTACTGTATAGGTCAAATGCTCTGAAGCTGTCTTCTCCCTTGAGACATGGTGCATTCTGACAGAGAGCCCTCCATCTGAAAGGCAATATTATGCAATCTGTTTAAAGGGCCACGCCAGTTATTCAAACACTATACAACATTTAGCTTCTTAACCATGTATAGCCTAAATAATATATGAAGAAATAAGGATTTTCATGGAGACGATATTAGTGAAGCAGTAGACAATTAATAAAAAAAAATAATAGTAATAATAAATATTCCCAGATCTATTGTTTCAATAGAAATTTGCTGTTCAGTAATGACATTCAGGTCTTCCAAGAGGCCCGGGTTTGATTCCTAGCCAATTCACCCATGTGCTGTTACCACTCTTTTGTCAGTGAAGGCTCGCCTGTTGCTGTGATGTTGAACAGGTTTCAATAGAGCTTCCAGACTAAGACCGATCTAGGAAGAAAGGCCAAGTATTCTACTTCTGAAAATCAGACAATGATAACTTTATAGATCACAATGGTCAGATCCCGTTGTGCATGCATTTGGCACGAGGTGGGCCAAATCCACACTATCTAACAACAAAAACAGTATTGTGTCATAAAAGCATGAACACCTGCAGTGTACTAGATACAAGTAAATAATCTGTGTGGTAAAAAAATAGATGATTATTGAATGTAAGCAGGTTTGAAATCTTCATGAAACAAAAGACTTGTGCTTAACCTCCACTTTGATATATCTTTTAACTCGTGAAATTGTTTCACTTATTCCAAATCATGAACTGAACAATTTTAGGAACAGTGAATATATGATTTTGACATGCATGGGAGAAAGTACTAAAAAAGGAAAAATATATTATAAATTTGTATAAGCAAAGAAGACAGTTCTCTCCAACTATTTCTAGATTACTTTGTTGTGCCATCATTGCTGCTTAAACCAAAACTCCAAACCAAACTCACTGTCATGGAGTCAGTTGGGTTTTGGAGGCTATGAATCTTTTTGGAAGTAGATTGCCCCATCTTCCTTTTGTAGAGTGTCTGGTGGGTTTGAACTGCTGACCTTCTAGTTAGCAGCCAAATGCCTTATCTACTACATCACCAGAACTCCTTCTGCTGCTTAAAGGTATCCTTAAATTCACATAACTTTTTCCTACATCTTTGCCCTCATCTGCATGGTAATCCTCTCTTATTGGATTCCCGCAACAGTCACCTACTTGACCTCTCATTGCCATTTGTTTACTTACAGTTTATCTTACCTACTGGCTGGTGGTTCAAACCCACCAGCCACTCCTCGGAAGGAAGATTGGGCAATCTATTTTTGTTGCGATACTGCCTCGGAAACCCAAGGAAGGGTTGCTATGAGTCAAAATCAACTTGGCAGCAGTGAGGTTTTTTTTTTTTTTTTTTTTGCCACTAAAGTGGACTTTCAAAAAACGCGGGTCAAATCATGTCATTCCTCTGCTCAGCCCTCTTGGATGTCTTCCCACACACTTTTCATGAACCTTTGTTCCTCCCACAGCCCACAGCCTATTTTTTTTATTTTTCTGGCTTATTTTTCTAATGTTCTTTTCTGTAATTCTTGCTCTAGACCTTGCCTTTTCTCAAGCACACTCAAAGAACTCGGATCTCAAGGCTTTAGTATTCCCCATTTCCTCAGCCTGATACTATTTTCTCCAAGAGGGGTGAGACTCAGTAATTAAATGGGTGGTTGAGGAACAGAGAAATTTCCACTATTTACCTTTTAAAATTTTTGAACCATATGGATCTGTTCTGTGCTGCAAATCAGCCTTTGTCAAAAGGTTCCATATATGCATTCATATATATTTTAAATTCATTTAGATGTGAGCATCTCTTTACTTAAATCTCTGCTAAAACTCAACCTTCTCAATATGGATTTCCCTGACCTCTCTGTCTAAAATAGGCCTCCATCAAGGCCCAGTTCATCTACTTTCTCATCCATGTACTTTCTCTGATGCTCTAAGCTCAAAGTACTCCTCTTACTTGACCCTCCCCAAATAATTTATTATTTTAACTATCTTATTCTGTTGATGTTATATGTTATTTTATAATCATATTGGTTCCTTACTTTTCCTACTAAACTGTATATTCCTTAAACACAGAATCATGCCTGATTATATTTAATAACTTGCCAGTGTTTGACCCAGTCCATACACCATACAAATAATGTAAATATTTGCTGAATAAATTATAAAATAAAATAAATGACTATATTAGTCAATATTCAAAGTTGAAGCAAGTATTATTAAAGGTTTTATTTGCAGGCTTCAAAGAGTGAAGTATATTTCCCCACATCTATTTCTGAGTTAAGTGTAAGGAAAGGAAAGAGAAATAAAATACTTTTTTAAAAAATCTTTTTTTTTTTTTCTGAAGCTAAAAATAAGTTAGAATTAATAAGACTAATAGAAAATATGGTATATTCTTGAACACTAATTCATAATATTAAAAAGGGTGTTACATATTGAAGTAGTCCTGGTGATACAGTGGTTAAGCACTCATCTTCTAATCAAAAGATCATGGGTTTGAATGCACCAAAATCAACACTTTAAACCATCATCTGCAACAATTAGAAAAAGAACATACTCTGCTGGTGGGACTGTCAAATGATACAACCACTGTGGTAAGCATTGTGGATTCCTTAAAAAGCTGGAATTAGAAATACCATTTGACCTGGCAATTATATTGCTAGGTATATATCCTAAAGAAGCAAGAGCCAGGACAAGAACAGATATATGTACACTCATGTTCATTGCAGCAATATTTACAATAGCCAAAAGATGGAAACAACCTAGGTGCCCATCAACAGAAAAATGGCTATCCAAACTATGGTATATACATACAATGGAATACTATGTGCAACCCTGAAGAGTAACGTAGAATCTGCAAAACACTGCATAACGTAAATGAACTTGGAGGACATTTTGCTGAATGAAATAATTCAATATTGACAAATATTGCATTAGTTCATATTGTGAAAATCAAGGAAAGGTTTATATGTGGAAGGAAATCTTCTTTGTTCATTACCAGAGGTGGGTGGGGAGGGAGGGAACACTGCTAGATAGATAGAGACAAGTACTGATTTTTGTGAAGGGAAGGGCAAGTGTACCAAATGTGAGTGATCAACACGGTGGCATTGTTGAGGAAGAGGAAGACATGGAGAGCTGCATGGGAGGTACATGCAACAAATATGAACCGTTGTATACAGTACTATGTTGTCAGTGAAGGCAAACATTAATCTATGGGTGGATAGATGGGCAGACAGGCTGAACTATTAGGGGGCAGTGTGCCCATGACCATGTAAAGGTTGGCAGACAATGTTTCTCCTAGTGTATTTGTATGTTCTGTAAGAATTCCTAGATATATAGTAAAGCTGACAAGGGACAAGTTTGCAGTTACTTCTTGGCCACAGCCAGCTACACAGAGGAAGTTAGTAGTTGAACCTGTGGGCTTGGGACCATGGTCATGGTGGACATCAAGCTCAATTGGCATAACATACTACACAAAATTATTGTTCCACATCCTACTTTGGTGAGTAGTGGCTGGGATCTTAAAAGGTGGCAAGTGGCCATCTATATGAAACGATGGGTCTCTCTTCACCCAGAGTAAAGAAGAATGAAGAAAACAAAAGACTCATAGAAATGAGTCCAAGTGACTGGTACACTATCTCATCCTCACCTTCTACGACTTTGAGACCAGAAGAAAAGGATGGTGCCCGGTTACCATTGTCAACCACTCAGAGGGTGATCTATGTAGGAGATGCTGAATAGAGTGGGAGAACAATGTGGACCAAACTCAAAATCATTAAAAAAAAAAAAAAAAGAGACCAGGTTTTCTGGTCTGATAGAGCCTGATGGAATCACTGAGACTATGGCCCCTAGCTGCTCTTCAGGTCTGGAACTGAACCCACTCCTGTGGCTTCCAGCCAAAGAAAAGACAGGCATATGAGGTGAACATTTACATTAGGTAGTACACTCACTCTTTGGAGAAATCAGTCATGGGAGAACAAAAGGGCTGTGTATGCACAGGGAAATAGCTTGGGGGGGAGCAGGAATTCATGGGGTGGGGGAAGGACACAGGGAAGAGGTAACTTTTATTTTTCACGGCTTTGGGAATGTTGTTGTTAAGTGCCATCAGGTTGGTTCCAGAACTCAAAGAGACTCTATGCACAACAGAATGAAACACGGCCCAGTCTTGGGCCATCCTCCCAGTCCTTGCTACGCTTGAGGAAGTAGGAGGGGAGCTGTTGCACTGTGGATTATTGCAGTCAGTGTCATGAGACAAAGTGTATGTGAGCTGCTGTATGGAAAGTGAATTTGCTCTGCAAACTTTCACCCAAATCACAATAAAAATTAGATTAAATAAGTAAATAACTGAAATAATAACATAAAGATAAGAAAAGAATATCCTGCTTATGATTCTATTAACATATATCTTCATTTTCATATCCGTATAGGCATAGAAGAGTTCAGAACAATCCTTTTGAACTATCCTTTCATTCTTTTTCTTTTCAGCTTGACATTGGTAATCTCGGCTCATAGATTGGGAAAAAAAAATAAGTAAAAGAAGTTTTAAGGGAATAAATCAGAATAGCAATGCCATAGATTTGGACATTCAAGAACATTGGGAATTGTGATAAAAATACACAAAAAAGAATATGTATCATAGGTAAGGATTTAAAATAATTATCAATTTTTTAAAAAGTAAGTAAACAAAGAAGCAACTGATGAGATGTCTAGGCAGATTTGAAAAGAAATATGTGAGAACCCTAGAAATGAAAAATTATGATCACTAAAAGTAAAAATTCAATGTGTGAGTTGAATAAGTTATTAGATATTGAAGAGAAACCTGAGAAATTGGATCTAAATAGATAAACCCAGTGAGGCAGGTAGGTAAAGAGATACAAAATATAAAGGGGAGATATAATTAAATAAACCCAGTGAGGCAGATAGGTAAAGAGAAAATAAATATAAAGGAGAGATTTGGAGGATAAGAGAATGAGAATATGTAACATTTCCTCAGAATTCCAGACTAATTCTATATACAAAGTAGGAGAAAGATGAAGCTGATGAGAATTCTGAGGAATTTTCATATTTCACACAAATGGCAACCTGCAAACACAGCAAACACAATATATACCCAAGGCAAGGTGAATGAAATTACATGTCACACTATGGTTAATAAGTGCAACATCACAGCCAAAGGGATCTTTAAAGCCATCAGAGAGGAAAGACAGATGATCTGTAAAGTATGAAAACAAGACTTAGAGGAGATTCTTGGGGTGGGGCAGGGGGGGAAATGACATGAAATAAAACATTAACATGTATCTCCTTCTATAGGAAATACTGATTGAGATAAATAGCAAAATTCACTTTTATTTTTTTTTATAAAAAAACAGGTACTGTTTCTATAGTAATGAAGAAATATTCAGAGTATTTTTTGAAGACCAAGATAGAGCTAAGAAGACAAATATTGCCTTTACTCTTGATACTACCCTGATAAGAATTATATTTATCTACCAGTTTTGAAATTACATGAATTTAGATGTGGTTGACTTGTGAATAAATATCTTTCAAGTAGAACTTAAAAGGGAGATTAAAAAGTAACATTCCAAAAAAGCAAAACAAAACTTAATGCCATTGAGTTGGATCCCACTCATAGAGACCCCCTCCTTGGGTTTCCAAGGTGGTATAATTTAGTGTTCAAGAGAACTAATGTTATCATAAGTTAAAACATGACACAAAACAACTCTCTGTGTTGTCCCTGGTACCATACGCATGCAATTCGAGAAGAAGCACTATCCCTACTCATGCACTCACCTCTCCCTCTGTTGACTGCAAATGGAGTTCCTTCCTGCAAGTGGCCTTGAAGTCTCCTGCAGCAGCGCTCACCTGGACCCCTCGAGGTGCCTCCATTATCAAAGATCTAGTTGGTGATTCAAGCCTAATGGGAAAATAAAAGAATCCTTAATAGAAAAGAGAATATGTTCCGATGAATTAGAAAATAATATTAGACAATCAAAACCAAACCAAACAGGTTGGCATAATTAAAATCCTTGTTTTGTCTCAATGAAACTCAAAATGAGTTTTAGTATGAGTTTTTGATTGCCTTATTTTTTTGGCTTTCTATAAAATTCTTCATTAACATCAATTATTTACTCTCATTTGTATTATGATTTAGTAATCATGTTTTACATTGTTTCCATTCATCTTTATTGAAAATAGGTCGATACAAGTTTACTTGTTTCAATATTTTATACATTATCAATATTAATGATGGAGATTTAATAAATAAATTAATACATGCTTAGCCCATAAATATCCCTCAATTAAGAGTCCCTGCCTTGCAAATATGTGAAGACTTTAATGAAGTCATCAATATTGCAAAATTTTAAGCTTTCAGTGATAAAATTTTGTAAATTTTAAATCTGTCAAAGTAGTCATTACACCTCTAGAAACGAACTTAAATGAAAAACAGTACATTTTCTGCATCAACTGACTGTTACAGGCCCAAAATGAATGACAGTAATCTAAGGAAAAGCAAAGAGGGATGAGGTAATTAAGATGTTTACTATTTCAAAATTTGAGGGGGAAAAAAATCAAAACCAAGTGTTTAAGGTAGCTGTCCCTACAAAATAATAATAATAATAATAATAATAATAAGGAAACAGTTTGAAAATTATCATCAAACTAGAGAAAAGACCAAATGTAGACAGAATACAGAAACTAGACTACAGCCAGAAAACACTCTGTATGAGAGAAGAAGTATCCATGAGTCCATTTTCTTGGGTAAATGGTCAGCTTTGTGGATGCAACTGTCTGTGATCCTCTAGAGTGTATGACATAAGGACAAGGACCCAGGCTCACATTCACCATAATTCAGAGCCACAGATTTCCTTTGAAACAATAGATTCTAAATTGTTTTGCAGAGCGAACCATCTCAAATAGATCTGTGATAGTCAGGTCCTTCTGAGTAGTAAAACCAATTTTAAAGACAAAAGTGATATTGAAGAAGTAGGACGAACATCCAGAGGAAGTTACTTCAGTGCTTGCAAATGGTTTGCCTCTCTCACGAAAGCAAATTGGAAACTTTCATCTCTATGGGTCTCTTGGATACTTTCATAAAATCCTTGAAGGGCTTAAGCTTTTAAAGATCTTTTGAGCTTGCTCCCTCGGTAACATGCAACTGTAGGAAAAGAGAAGAAAACTGAATTGGCTAGGGTTTAGTTTCTGATAGCCAGTGGATAGCAATTTAAACATGTAAATTGATAAATATTTTTATTTCTTCTAAAACTAATTTTATAGAAAGCATATGCTTTCTGCAAATAAAGTATTTTATATATATGTTACATACTATGTAATAGTTATTCAAAGTCTGTAGCAATTTTTACATTATTACTAAATACTGCAACTGCAGAAGTGATTAAACAGGTTTCAACTACATAATTTGCTAGTCTGGATAAAATTAAGTGAATAATTAGCAATAAAATATTATTTCATTGAAACTAGCAATGCCTCTTTTTAATGACATCCAGTACTTAGGTGAGTGATACACACTAAAAAGAAAAAGAAAAACAAATCCTTGTGTTCCAGTTGATTCAACTCTGACTCACCATGACCCTATAGGACAGAGTAGAATGGGCCCATAGTGTTTCCGAGGCTGAAAATCTGCACAAAAGCAGACTGCTACATCTTTCTCCCACAGAGTGGCTGGAGCAGCTGGTGAGTTCCAACTGCTGACCTTTCTGTTAGCATTCAAGTGCATTAACTACTGTACCACCAGGGATCCTAATATATACACTAGGAATTTGAAATTAATGATGGTAAACTATATAGTTGAAAGTATGCAATAAAAACTTGATGTAATATTTATAGGATTCCTTAATTCTATTTTCAAACAACACGCACAAGTAGTCAAATATTTCTTACAAATATGAAAACTGAAGCAAGTAAGTTCATGAATAATTTTTTTAAGCAAGCTTATGGATCTCACAGTGAGGGGAAAAAAGAATAAAACTGATCATGACTTCAAGAGTCTGGGGATAATATCAAAATATGTAACATTAGGTAATAGGAATACTGGAAAGAGAAAGAGAATAGGTCAGGGAATATATTTGAAACCAAAATGTCTGAAAATTTCCTCAAACTTGGGAAAAATGTCATTTACAGATTCAAGAATTGCCACGAACTTAAAGCAAGATAACTATAAGAGAAAACATGTCTAAGCACATCACAGTCCAAGTGCTGAAAAAATAAAAATGAAATGAAAATCTTGGACTCAGCAAGTGTTTTTAATGATTTAAATGGATATTTTTCATTGTAATCTGTGAAGACTAGAAGAAAGTGATAAACCATCATTAAAATATGAAAAGAATAAAAAACCCATGACTAAAATTTTTAGAGCCAGCAAAATTATAATTTAGAATAAAGGCAAAACAAAACAAAACAAAAACCAAAAAACAACCCTCAAAAGACTTATATTAAGAAACAAACAAAGAGATTTTTTTGTAAATTGATCTATACTGAAAGAAATCTCAGGCTGCTGAGGAATGATCCTAGATGAGTTATTAAATTTTTAGGAAAGAAAGAATGACATCAGAAATTGTAAGTATCTAGAAAATTATAAAAGACTATGTTGTCTTAATTTAATAATATATATTTTAAAAATACATTAAAAACAAAGATTATAGTGGATGATTTGGGATTATAGCACAGAGAAGGACAAATGTTGTACTCTAATCTCCCTATCTTCTCTTTTTGCAAAGCAATTTTGCTTTTAAGGTGTCTAAATACCAGAGTTGCAATGGGATTTTGCTCTTAAAGTATTAAGCAATTATCAACTTTTTGGGGGGCGGGGGGAGTGGCCTAGGACTCTCAAAGAATTATCAATATTTTGTGAAAAGAAGATTCAAACCCTTTAAGTCACAAGAAAAATATATAGATAAAAATGTAAGCAGAACTGAAGAAATTTGAACATCATATGTCTTGTTCTTGATGAATATTTAATTCAATACTGAAGACATAGTGTTGTTGTTGTTGTCCGTTGCCATTAAGACAACTCCGACTCATAGTGACCCTATGTACAACAAAACAAAACACTGCCCAGTCCTGCACCAACCTCACAACCCTTGCTATAACTGAGCCCTTCATTGTAGACACTGTGTCAAACCATCTCATTGGATTGACACCTTTTTAGCTGACCCCTTTTTGTTGTTGTTGTTATGTGCTGTCAAGTCTCCTTTTTACCAAGCATGATATCTTTCTCCAGGGAGTGGTCCCTTCTGACAATATGACCAAAGTAGGTGAGATGAAGTCTGGCTATTTTCACTTCCAAGGAGCATTCCAGCTGCACTTCTTCCGGACAGATTTGTTAGTGTTTCCTGGCAGTCCATGGTACTTTCAGTATTCTTTGCCAACATCACAACTCAGATGCATCAGTTCTTCTTTGTTGTTGTTGTTATGTGCCGTTGAGTCGGCCCCGACTCATAGCGACCCCTCCTTGGGTTTCCGAGGCAGTATCACTACGGAAGTAGGATTGCCCAACCTTCCTTCCGTGGAATGGCTGGTGGGTTTGAACCGCCAGCCGACTGGTTAGCAGGCAAGTGTCTTAGCCACTATGCTACCAGAGCTCCCCAGTTCTTCTTTGGTCTTCCTTATTCATTGTCCAGCTTTCACATGTTTATGAGGCTATTGAAAATGCCCTGGTTTGGGTTAGGTGCACCTTAGTCTTCAAAGAAACATGTTTGTTCTTCAGCACTTTAAAGAGGTCTTTTGCAGCACATTTTCTCAATTCAATACGTCATCTGATTTCTTGACTGCTGTTTTCGTTGGTGTTTATTGTGGAACCAAATCATATAAAATCTTTGACAAATTCCATCTTTTCTCCATTTTTCAGTGATGCTACCTATTGGTCCATTTGTGAGGATTTTCATTTTCTTTATGTTGAGGTGTAACCCATACTGACTGTTGTTGTTGTTGTTATGTGCTGTCAAGTCGGCCCCGCCTCATAGCGACCTCTCCTTGGGTTGCCGAGGCAGTATCACTACGGAAGTAGATTGCCCAACCTTCCTTCCGAGGAGTGGCTGGTGGGTTTGAACCGCCAGCCTTCTGGTTATCAGTCAAGTGCCTTAGGCACTATGTTACCAGAGCTCCTTACTGCAGACTATAATCTTTAATCTTCATCAATAAGTGCTTCAAGTCATCTTCACTTTCAGCAAGCAAGGTTGCGTCATCTGCATATCACAGGTTGTTAATGAGGATTCCTTCAGTCTTGATGCTGCATTCTTCATGTAGTCCAGTTTCTCAGATTATTTGTTCAGCATATAGATTGAATAAGTACAGTGAAAGGATAAACCCTGATCCACTCCCTTCCTAATTTTAAACCATACAGTGTCCCCTTATTCTTTTTTGAATGACAGCCTCTTGGTCTATGTGCAAGTTCCTTATGAGCACAATGAAGTTTTCTGGAATTCTTTTTCTTCTCAAAGTTAGCCATAATTTATTATGATCCACACAGTTAATGTTTTGCATAGTCAATAAAGCACAAGTAAACATCTTTTTGGTGTTCTTTTTTCTCAGCCAAGATCCATCTGAAATCAGCAATGATATCTCTCATTCCATGTCCTCTTCCGAATCCAGCTTGTATTTCCGGCAGTTCCCTCCCGCTACACTGCTGTACCTGTTTTGAATTATCTTCAGCAACATTTTACTTGCATGTGATATTAATTATATTTTTTGATAATTTTCATATTCTGTTAGATTGCTTGTCTTTGGAATGGGTACAAATATGGATCTCTTCCAGTCAGTCGGCCGTTTGTAGCTGTCTTCCACATTTCTTGGCATAGATGAGTAAGTGCCTCTCATAAGGCATCTTTGTTGAAACATCTCAATGAATATTCCATCAATTCCTGGAGGCTTGTTTATCACCAATTCCTTCAGTGCAGC